AGAATAGTAAAATTGGCCTGATAGTTCTTGAGAAATCTTTAAAAAACTTCTTTTTATATATAAAATTTCTTTAAAAAAAATTGATTTTTTTAAAGAAATTTTATATATAAAAAAGAAGTTTTTAAAAGATTTCTCAAGAACTACCAGGCTAATTTTAATATCCTTTCAGTATTAAGTACAGTCAGGGCATATTCCGAATTTGGTTATCAATGATCTGCATCTAATTTAGTAATGATCTGTAGTCAGATGATTCTAGAATATTATTCGAATTTTCCACAAGTTATATACACAGTAATACAGTAATACCGTAGTATCCGCCTTTTTTGATCTTTTTATTCGTTTGATATGTAATTTATCATTGTTGCATATGCGATATATTGCTGTAAATATGTTTAGAACGTTATCATCATTGAAACCACCGTTTTTATGGTTACCGAAGTTGTTGCTTTTAGAATCGTCGTAGGAAGCGTCACACTTTGGAGACATAGAAGCTGCTGCCACCCTGGTATGAATTTTTTTTTTTACGTTATTAGATTTTTGGTGCTAGTCTAATTAGTTATGTCACGTAGTTGTACTTAAAGTTTTTATACGTTGAAGTTGCAACCTCAGTTGCACTAAAAGGAGCACTTGAAGTTGCAACTTCAAGCAAGCCTGTGGTCAAAATGTGGCTATTTTTATCGACCAAACGTGCTCATCCTTTTCAATTCCTTTCAGCCGAACCTATATCAGCTGATTTGATAATAATGGAGTTCTTTTCTGATTTTAATTCTAACATTATACGTTTCATTAATGCTTTTCAACTCATATTGGCTAATTCTAATAATATTTGGAGGTATCATGTTCGTCCTTTTAACTCTAATTTCATTCTATGTTTCATCAGCAAAGCCTATGTCGGCTAATTTTTGATAATAAATGAAGGCTATATGCTCATCTTTTTCAACCATATTGATAACAATATGTTTCATCAGCAAAACCCGTATTGGCTGATTTTTTAATGATTTTTTATAATATCTGAAGGCTTTTGTTCGTCCTTTTCCAGCTCCAATCCCAATAGCTAATGTCATATTTTCCATTTGCAGCCTGTCATATGAAATAACGGCTTTTATTATTTATTAAATAGTATCTTACCTGATCAGTTATTCGATTTCAATTTGATTTATTGGAATAAGCATCCTTAGGGACTTTCATATTGTTGGATCAGAGTTAGTATCGGATAGGTTGGATTGAAATTAGTATTGGATAGGGTTAGAGGTGGTTTTGGTTGTATTTAGAGATGTGCCATCACACATGTTAATTAGCACATATTCTAACTTAGATAATTAGTCATGTAATAATCAACACTTCGCACTGACAGGTGTGTAATGGCACATCTCTAGTTGGGTTAGGGTTAGATAATGATATTTATTGTATTTTTTTTTTTTTGATATGTATATATATAAATAAGGTTGTATATAAATTTATAAATAACTAGTCATGTGAAAGGGTGGGCGATGTATTGCTATGGTGGTAAATTTAAAAACCCTAAAAAAAAAACAATTTAAAAAATAAAATTAACCTGTAATGAGCTAGAGAACTAGTATTAACGCATAAGAAAATATATTTAAATAAACATTTAATTTTTACGAATCGATACTTTTTTACATTAATTTTTAAGCCATCCGATTAAGTGGGCTAGGTGCAATAGAAAAGAGGGAAATCAACAAAACAAAAGATCTTCAGAAGATCAATTTTTATATTATAAATTTTATAATAAGTTATAAGAAAATACAAACTTTAAAGAGCTATATTACAAAATTTTATTAATACAACTGCTTTTGTGTTTTAAGTGAAAAATGGTTTTAATCTTATTCTGAATTGATTTATGTAAAAAAAAATTTTTGAAAATTTGTCGATTTCCCCCTTTTCTATTGCACCTAGCCCAAGTGATTTATTTTATTCAATAAGGAACAAAATCTGTATTTGATCAATAAAAACTTAGAGGAATTAATAAACTCAAAATTCTGATCTAGATCCGATCACTAGATCAGGATCAGGCTGTATGTACGTATATAATTAATTCCTCTCTTTTATAAGAGAAATATAATGTTAACTGCTGAATTGAACTCAACTAGAACCTTTAGACTAAATTTAGCTTAAAGTCAATTCATTATAATAGATTTACTATATTAAAAATAGTTCATTTATTTTATATGTTTATTTCATTTGCTCCTCTTTTTCGAAAGTCCTGAAAAGTGATGTTAACCAAAAAATTAGCTTCAAATGGCTTTACAAGGTCAGTGATAATTATTTGTATTATTATTCAATCTAGGCTGACTTTCTTGAAAAATACTATATACTTAACTTTATATTATAATTAAAGTAGAGCTTCTATTTATATATTATGAATATTTAATAAATAGTTATATTTTTACAATTGGGTTTTAAAATATTAAATATAATTATAAATTATAAATATAAGTATTAAAATAAAAAGATAGCTATTACAAGTGCAAGACTTAGTATAATTAAAAATGTAGTTTTGGCATTATACTTTAATAATATACCCAGCACTTTATTACAATTGTTCTTGCTGATCTGCTTCTGAAATTTCAAAACAATCTTGGTTATTAAGTATATTGTCTGAATCAAATAAACACTTTACTTCTTGTAGTATACTAAGTAATTCTTCTTTTGTTTTTAACTTTAGTCCAGAATACTTTTTTTTAATATTTTCAGGAACTTGTTCAAGTAGAATTTTTATTTTTGACAAGATATCAGATATAGTCAAATTTTTTTCACTTTTTTGAGCTTCAGCTTCTCGTTTTGTAATTGGTATTGGTCTAAATTGAGAAGAATTATTTTTATTAATAAATGTTTCAATAATATAGTTTTGTCAAGCTAATTTTGTACAAGAAGTAAAATTTTTTAAATCCTCAGCTAATTTATATTCTCCACCTAAGCTGTGATAAATTGTTCTTGAGTTTATAGGGTTTACAAATTTAAGACCTTGCAGAAGAGCTCAGAATCTTTGACATTCCACAGTTGCTTCTGGTCGGGTTCTTGGTCCTGATGATTGATCATTGTATCCAATTATTTTAAATAAATTGTTTCTAAGCTAAAATAAATTTTTAGATTTAAGTATATAACTTTTAATTAATTTATTAAATAATTAAATTATAAGAACAATTTTATCTTAACAAATTTTTTACAGTTACATGCAGCTATTTTCCAATGATAGTATTGTGGTACAGGTGGTATTAAGGCTTTTAAATTTTTATTTATCTCTTCTAAAATTGCATCTAATCCTTGATGTTGATTATGAACTCTTGATCTAGAAATTACACAATTGTTTTCTATAATATCTTGTATTTCAGGATGAAGTTGCATTAATTGAACTTCATCAGCAACTTCTATTAGACGATAAATAGAATAACGTCTTCCAGACCAAATAGGTGAAAAAATTCTTTTAGCAGCTTTTTTTTAAAAGTGAATTATTAGTTCTTATAGCCTTTCAATAGTTAATAATTGCTTGAAGATAAATAAAATTCTATTATAAAAAATTTTTATTAATTACTATTAAATTATATTTAAAAATAAAATAATTATTACCTGTTTAAATTTTATCTGATAAATTGAATCATATTGCTCTTTAACCCAAGCAAGATACCCTTCAACAGATAAATTCAAATAGTTTTTTACATATGGCTACAGAAGTTCCATAGCTATTGCTTTACGATATATAATACAAATAGAATCCTATACTTTATGATGATCAGCACATTTTTTAAAATAGGCAAGCTGATTTTCAGTTTTATAGCAAACCGTCTCAAATCAATTTCCCTAATAAAAAAAAAATAAAAAAAAGTCAAATAAAAAAATAATTAATAAAATAAAAAAAATAACAAATAAAAATATATAGAATTATACTACTTAATATATTAACATCAGGAAACTAAATATAGTACAGATCTGCACAGATCTGCAACTCTGGAAATTTTTAGCAAATTTCATGATATCTCATGATCTATTGATCAGAACTTAACGAATCTGATACCATTCGAACCATCTCGGTGAGACGGATCAAATGGTACTAAATTCATTAAAATTTGATCACTAGATCACGAGATAATCGTATTTAAATAAAATTTGGAGCCATCTCACGATCTTGTTAACCAGTGGTCCAAATTTAATGATTTTGGTACCATTCAATTCCTCTCGATTAGACAGTTCGAATGGTACCAAAAATGTTAAAATTTAATCACTGGTTAGTGAGATATTTGCAAAATACGTTTCACGGTGCAGTTTTGCGCAGATCTGTACAAAAAAAATTTGCAGATTTGCGCAAAACTGCGCTGCAAAACGTATTTTGTGAATATCTCACTAACTAGTGATTCGATTTTAACGTTTTTGGTACCATTCGAACCGTCTAATCAAGAGGAATCGAATGGTACCAAATCATTAAATTTGGACCACTGGTTAACAAGATCATAAGATTGCTCCAAATTTTATTTAAATACGATTATCTCGTGATCCAGTAATTAAATTTTAATGAATTTAGTACCATTCGATCCGTCTCATTGAGACGGTTCGAATGGTACCAGATTCGTTAAGTTCTGATCGATAGATCGCGAGATATCGTGAACTTTGCTAAAAATTTCCAGGGTCGCAGATCTGCACAAATCTGCACCATATTTATTTTCCCGATGAATTTTAAATAATTTATCAGTTTAATTCTACATATGCACAAAGCATATTTATCTCTTCATATAATTGACCAGGTACTAGCACTAACCAAGGAAACTTTTCTTTTAACTTGGTAGCAAGTCGATATGGAACTATCACAAGTTACTACTATCCATTTACGAATTTTATTCTTAATACCTGATATAGCCTTAATATGTAAAAGAACTTGTTCAATATTTGCAATTGAATTAGGATTAATATTAATAGGATCAGGAATATAAATTTCAGGAATATTAACTTCTTGGTTTGTAATTGGTTGGGTAATCTCAATTGTAGAAGTACAAGCAGTATTTTGCTCATTGTTAATTTTGTAAGTTTTAAAAATAAGTGAATTATCTAATTGATCAACTATATTATTTTCAATTTTATCTATTTCTTCTTTTTGAATTTCAGCCAATGTTGGAAGTTGTATTTTACATCTTGGACATGTTCTTTTTCGATTTTCTATATCTTTCAAATTACAATTAGAACAAAATTTCATTTTAGTAATATCAACTGGTGTAGATGCTAAAAGAGAATCTATAATATTATTAGAGAACTTTTCTTCAGACAATAATATAAGAATCTCAGCTAAATATATATATAATTCTTCATCAATAACCTTTTGCATTTGGGAACTAATATTAAAAAGTTCTTCATATTGTAAATTACTTAAGAGTATTATACAACCAAGGTGAATCTGTGTTATGTTGAATCTTGTTGTGTGGTGCTATATTAAAAGCAACAAAACTAGTAACAATATGATAAATAACTTTATTAAATTCTCGATCAAGATAATTTTTTTGTCATTTTTGTTTATTATCAAATGCAAGAAATAAAAAGCCTTTAGGCAATGGTTCTTCATATTTTGAAAGCTCCTCAATCTATTTTGAAATCAATAATGACTTCTTGAGCTTGTAATATAGTTATCAATATCAATAACCATTTTTGATTTTACAATTGAATATTTAATAGCTGAAATAGCAAGTTGAATTTCTGATACATATTTTCCATGTTGAGCCCCATATATTGAATCAACTATAACTGCAATTTTAAAAAGCTTTTCATGACTTGAGACATTGGTAGCTTGATTATTTTGAACTAGAGTTTCAACAAATTTAACAACAACTTGATTACGCTTATTAAACCAATTATGCAGATTATATTTCATAAGGTTTTCTAAAGAAAACCTATTGCTATTATGAATTAATAAATCTACAAAAATTATAAAAAAGTTATAAATATTAAAGACCCAATATACAAGAACTTAGAATTAGTAATATTAGTAATATGAATTAAAAATTGATTAATAAATTAGTTGATTGAGTTGGCAAATTTTATTAGTAAATTCACTATATTAAGAGAACTTAATATAAACTATGTTTGAGCTTAATTTTACTATATTGAGATTTCAATTAGTTTTTAATATATCAAGAGCTTACTATAACAAGAGTAACTTGTATTTGGTTTATTTATCAATTAATTAGTTGACTATATAATATATATATATATAATTACTATAAATATATATATTTCTATATCTATATATAATTAGTTATTATAAAAACTATAACAATATTATATACTTTGTCTTTTACTACTATAATCTTCAATATATTTTTATATTCTTTTTATATATTGATCATATATAGTATATTTATTTCAATTTGGCTATTAAAAAATATTTGTATTATAAAATTTATTAATAGCAACAAAGATATAATTCTAGAGTTCCAATTCAGATAAATCTATTATCCATTTATCCATATCTGATTTATTCGAATATCTATTTACTATTAATATCCAGATAATTTGACAAATATTTGAATAATTATCCAAATATTAATAGTAAATAGATAGTAAATAGATATCTGAATAAATTCAAATCTGGATATTTGATAATTATCCAGATAAATACTAACCAGATTGGAACTCTATATAATTCAACTTATCAGTATTTGTTATCAAAGAGTAATTACAATTTTACATGTTTTTTGTATACAAATAGCTCTTGATATAAAAAACTTGTAATATAAGAAAAACTAATTAAGTTTCAATATAAGAAATATAAAAAAAATTTATCTTTACTAGTAATAAACTTATTTATATAAAAAAGCAAGATGAATTTTTGTATATATTTAAATTAAAATAATTTTAATTTAGATAGTATAAAATTATAAAATAAAAAATAAAAATTAGACAATAACCAGTATATTAAACAATTAATTAGCTTTGTTTAACTTACTTACATTATGCTTATAAAAACTTATACAGGAGTATATGTATACCTAAATTATTTTTAAAAAAAGTATTTTTAACAAATATTTTAGCACTGCTTAATTTTTATATGAAATTAAAATTGCAAGTGGTAAATTTACTATGGTAAATTATAATAATTTACTAGGTAATTTACCAAAGATGTGGTGAATTTACCAAAAAATTTTAAAAATTACAGTAAACAACAACTTTATATAAAATCCTTCAAAATAATTATACTATATAATCAGGGTTGGTCAAATCACTAGTCAACTAAAAATTTGTTAGTCAAACCGGTTTGGCCAAATTGGTCAAATGGTCTGATCAAATTAGTTAAATAATCTAGTCTATTAAATAAATAAATTTAGTATACAAAATAAATATATATATGTATACTATATATTTAAATATTCTTTAACCAAATTAACCGAGTTCAACAGGAGGCCACTTCAAAGTCTAGTTACTTGATGGTTAATGATCCACATCCTGCCAGATATATGATGGTGATAATCAACACCCTCCTACAGCATATTGTTTTATTTCATATTTGAAGTCCTTATTATACTTTTTTTGAATTATGATAATGATTGTTGCAGCTGCTATGGTAGGTTAATTATCTACCATCATGTATCCAGCAAGGTGTGAATCATTGAGGGCCACCCACCCTGTCAAGACCAATACTAAACCCTTTGACCAACTGGTCAAATTGGTCAAACTGGCCTGGTCAAGCTTAACCATTAACTGGTCTATGCCAACCCTGTGTATTTTGATGAAAAAAGTTTAAAAACTTTTACTATAATCAACAATGATTTAACCTATTTTATTAAATCATGTTAAAAAGCAATTTTTGTATTATTTATTTTTTCACAGTAAATAAATAATCTCCAGGAGCATGTTACTAGATGTTAATCTGGCTATTATACTATTATTTTTACATGTGTTCTATATTTATATTTGTATTGTGCTTTACTAACTTTTGAGCTTTGCTTTATTTTTTTTATTTACATCATTTTTATTGTTTACTCTTTTTTATCACCTTTGCTTTTTACTTCTAGGTTTAGCTTTTTTTGAACTCTTATTTTTACTTTGCTCTTATCATGCCTTTTTTTAGCTTCATTTTACTGTGTCTATCTACTTTGAGTCTTCCAAAATGGCTATCATTCTTGCTGTGATGCAATTATTGCACAGCTGGTCAAAATTCTATTAATGAAACCACAGCTATCCTATTAAGTAAAATATTTCAGACCAATTTGTTGTAAAAGAGACCAAAAATTTGCTTAAAAATACTCCGGCCAAATTATAATTTTGAAGATCATAGGTCTAAATTAAGCTAATGCAAACCAACTGCTTGATCAACGTCATTGCAAAATTGATGGCTACCCTTGAGGACTTATTTTTAAAGTTCTTGAGAGAAAACATAAAAAATACAAAAAAAAAAGATTCAAATAAAAATTAAGTGTTAAAAATTAAAGTTTCCTGATGATCAATATGGAACCAGGAATCTTTCGTGGGAAGATTCCCGGTCACAATATGATTATTATACAGTTATAAATATAGTTAATCACATACAAAAAATAATGATAAATGTAGTCATGAATGACACTTAATAAAACAGGAGATTAATTATCCAAATATATATGTATATACAAGAGGGTCCCAAAAAATTCTAAATCGAAATACGTCAAATAGATCTGAATTGATTAATTTTGCCCCAAGATAAACAATTTTACTAATTAAATTATATTCCTTCATTAATAAAAAATGCTCAGCAGATAATTTTGCTATAGAACATGCTAACAACTAGGGCTAAATGCCAACCTAGATCCGACGCATCCAACTCGGAATTTTAGTGACCCTTCAATAAAATTCTACAAAAATAGAAATAATTAATTAAAAAAAAAATAATAAAAAGAAATAATTAATGAAAAAAAAATAATGTAAAAACTTATCCTTATCCTAATATATAAATTCACTTTTTTTTTATTATTAAATAATTGTAATTGCAATTGTGATTGCTAAAACCAATTGTGATCACAATCACAATCATTCTATAATAAAAAAAAGTAAATCATAAAGATCCCAAAATTGTGCAAACTGCAATAAACATGATCTATTATTAATCAATTTTTTAAAAATTACAAGCTTAAATACTTACTAATATCATCAAGCAAAGACTCACGTTCTGCTTTTGCTATTTCAACAACTGCATTGATACATTTTTGATGGCTGGAAAACCTTGAATCCCACTACTTAGTAAGAGCTTTATTTTTTTTAAACTGATCTTCATACAAGCTTTGGTATGTATTCACTTCTTCATATGCTTGTTGTATTTGCTTTGTTAAGTCTTCTGTTTCTCTCTCTTGCTTTTCTAAATATTGTCAAGTTCATTTAGTTTTTCTGCAAAGTTCTATATTTTCTCGTTTAACATCTTCTAAAATTCTTTTAGTCTCATCAAGCTCAGCTCTTATATTAGTATAACTAGAGGTCTGGGTGTCCATGTTAATGTCAGTTGGTTTTTCTAAAAATTACTTGAAAGGTATTCATAAAATCAGTTAGACATAACAATTTAATTGTTATATTTTTGGCAATACAAATGATTTTCTAAATTGAGATTAACAAGTTCAGAAAAGTAAGGTATAAAAAACATAAGTTGTTTAGCTGCTTTTGGGCCACTTGCATTCCACTTTTTACGATCTTCCATTTCACAAGAGCTTAATCCAACGCTATTATATTTCTCAACCAATTCTTTAAAAATGCACAGAAGTTCTAGTGCTTTTTGTTTCTGGTAGTTTGATACTACAAAAAATTGTTTAATATCATTTAGTTAACACGTTTGCTCATCCCAACTAACAAATTTTGTGCCAAAAAACTCTGATCTTAAGGTTTTACTTACTTTTTTTAGATCAACTTAAAATAAGAGATTAATTGGGATGATCAAAAGTAGACAGTTTACACTAACTACTTGAATATTGTTTGGTAACAAGTGGAGGTAAAAATCTTGTGAACCTTTGAGAGAAAATGACATAACAAGCATGTGACAGAGCCAATCAAATTTTACTGAATTTCATAGATCATTCTAGATCTTTGATTTCAAATTTAGAATATGCCCTGACTGTAGTGATGATGAAAATATTAATAATAATCATTATTACTATTATTATAATAATACTAATAATAATAATGTTCTGTAAGTATATACATAAAGAAGAAAATACTTAATAATAATTAAATAATTAATTATCTATTAATTGTCTTATTATATTTGTAGGTGGTTGTAGCAGCAAGTAAATAATCAAGCAGTAACTATTGAAGAGCTTAATAGTATGGCTCTTGATTATTTATAACAGTTTGTTCTTCAGAAGCAGAAGTGTAAAGCTTTTATAGAGAAGTGAGATAGATATCAGACTTGGTTTGAGCAGCAAGATGCTGTTTTACAAAATTTTCTTCGCATCTTGAAAAAGAACAAAGAGAAGATGAAAGAAGAAGAATGGAGGAAGAAGAAAACAAGAAAGGAAGAAAAGGCTAGGGCATTTTCGTATATAGAGTAGTTTCTCTTTTTATTGTCTTTTTCTACTTTCTTAAAATTTATTTTTTGTAAAAATTTTGCTTTTCCTTCTCTTTTTGTATTATTTCGAGTTTTTTGTCTTCTTTTAAAATTTTCTGAAAATTCATATTTTTCTTGTAAATAATAATTTTTAGATGATTTCTATTTGTACACTATGTGTATGTACATGTGTTATGTGATCGCATATCAATCAATAAAATCTTAGCATTTATATAACACATTTATATACTATACTTATTTATTTATATAAAAAATTTGACTATACATTTATATAAAGCAATACTAAAATTACATGTAATATAATAATCTGCTCTAACCCTAATATGAAAGGGCTATACTCGCACTTGCTCTAACTATAGCTATTCTTATTTAAACAAATAATTTGTTATAATTAGTATGTGCTTTATAAAAATTGAGATGATCTACCAACACAACATCAGCATAAAAATTAAGACGATTTACCAATACAACATTGGCATAAAAAAAGCCAATATGATTAATAATTCATGGCACTATATTAGTTACTATGCTTCAAGGATCAGATATAATTGCTGTGCCAGTAAGAAATATAAATTATAGCTATGTCAGTAGATTACTAAAATTTTGTTACTTACTGACTATTAAATGCATAAGCAATTGAATAGAGTAGCATAAATAGCACAAATTTATATAAAAGAATACACTCATAGGATCTTCAATTAGTAGAAATTTGATTCAGGACTATCCAGAAAGACAAAAACTTTAAATATTATGAGCTATTACCTTATGTTGCTCCGGAAGTAGTTGAAATATCTACGAGAACATTGTCTTTTTATAATCTTGAATATGAGAAATATTAGTATTTTAATGTCACTAACAAACTAAAAGAAAATACTTAACCGAAGTAACTATAAAACGATCAAAGTATTATAAAATAAAAGACATTAAGTACATATTTAATAGATTGCATTGTATTAAATTGTATATACGTAATCATATTGCTTTTTACATATTGAACTGAATACTATATTGTGATAGCCTAATGTTTGCAACTTAAAAAAGACTAACTCTAAAATCAAACTTTATACTAATTGACAAGTTTTGGAATAATGACTATATTGGTTATATTTCTTATACCTACAACCTTTTATATTAACTACGTTACTATTATTGCCACTTAATGTATTTGAATTTTCATTGTTGTCTGTTGTATCGATATTTGTATTGTTTTTCAATACACGTTTATTCTTAGAAATTGCAATTTCAACATTGGGCTTTAGTCTTTTCGGCGGCCAACCTCTATACTTGGTGATGATCAGATTTTTAACATTGCTAATATTTGTTTGTTGATTCTAATTCTTTTTGTTTTGTGCATTATAAAGGAATGACTTAATAGTATCCAATAATTTTTGTGACATGTTTGCTTTAATAGCTACATTAATAGCTTTCTTTGATAAACTGAACAATTCAGTGTGTATAGCTCTGTGCGGCTTGGTTGTTAACTGAGAGACAAAGTGAATAGAGAATAAATTTTCAAATGTAATATCAGAATGCTTGAATGTAGTACTTAAAAGCTCTTTTTCTATTCTTATAGCAGTGTATACTTTAATAGCCGAAATATCTTGTAAAAGACTTTCTTGGTCCATTTTAGGTTTTAAATACCACTAAGATGGAATAACTATAATGTGAAAAGTTGCTACTTGAGAATATGTTGCAACACAAAAAAAATGGCAGCATATTAAACTCTTGTTTAATAGAAGAAGGCAGGTGCACAAATATGTACCATCGTTTAGCAAGATTATATAATGTCTGATGCTTGCTATTCCAGTAGCGCAAACATTTTACACTTCCAAAATTATTTCTTAATCAACATCTCTAATTAAAGATTTAAAAAGAACTTGCTGAATATCTTGATCCTGTTCTCTTGGCCCAATATTTACTTTTTCATTATTATTACTTTCTTTTACTAATTGTTGCCATTCTATAATGCAATTAATATCGTAACACACTGATTAATTCATCTGCAGTCTTTGTTTTCCTAATATTATAGGTGTTAAAAATTGCTTAATTACATTATTAACCTGATCGAAAAGTCTAGTATTCAAAGTTGGCAACTCCACAGTCGATAATATACTATACTCAACTTCAAATTTTTCAAATTGCTCTTCACCTTTAATATAGTCATTAATGTTGGTTAACAAGTTACATAAAGATGTTAACCGATTAACTTTATTATGTAACTGCTTGTTAATTGATTCTATTCTCTGGGTGCTTTGAACACCTGCTGTGAATTGGTTACAAATCCAAGGTATACTCCATGACATTTGTTAGGATAAAGTGTTTCTGACATGTACTTTGCCATAACAGGATATTGATTACTCAAATCGAGCCACAGAGCTTCAAACAATTCAATATATAAAGAATTTTAACAACCATAAAATTTGTGTCGAAATTTTTTAAACTGAGTTCCCAGTTTACTTGTAAACTTCTTATTAAGATTTAGATCAATATAAAAGATACACAACAAGTAGTTCATATCAGAATGTACCTCTTTAACTGCGCTAATTAATGATAGATCTGAGTTAGTAAAAATGACCTTAGGATAAATATTTGTTTCTTCAAATATTGTAGTAAAGATCCAACGGAAAGTCAAGTATTTCATCATCTAACAGAAGCAACAATCCTAGATTTAAAATGATTATCAATAACAATAATGACAAAAAACATTATTTTAAAGCGATTTGTATTGGAAGAGGTATCTAAAATTATAACATCATGGAAATTCTCATATAAGGATCTTTGCAGTGGTAATATCCATAGCAATCTACTTAATCTTCAGGAGAAAGGATCCAAATATGGTTTTACAATCCATAGAGGATTTGATTCTTTCAAATTAATAGTATTTGAAGTATTAGAGATGCATCCAAGTTACTTAGATTATCTTCAGTTCGGAACTGATATACTGCATTATATAAATCTTTTTAAAAATAGGATAGTCTGGATAATCATGTTAGAGTAATGGATAAATTGATCCAGACTCTATTTGGCCTTGTATCATATACTTTTTTATATCTGATAACATTTCTGGAGTTAATCTTCTAAAACATAGAGCTGTTTCTGTAATATTTGGGATAAGAACATGATTATGTTTATTCTTGAATGAGTTGATTTTTAAAATATTATTTGTCTTTGGATATGTAATATTAAGCTGCCAGAGACATCCTGTTCGCACTGAAAATACATTTCGTCACTTGGTTGGGTCTGAAGCCGCATAAGGGTCAGGTGTGTCTAATCTTGAATATTCATAAGTAGCACAACGAATTATTTCACTATCCATCTTACTAGTCCTTATTCTATAACTAAATCCTTGTGTTTTAGCAAAGTTATCAAGCCAGGCCATAAAACCTTACAGCTTGTAAAGATAAGTCCACTCTTTAAATCTTCTGAATCTGTATCATCTAGTTTGCTTATAACTTCACTATTAGGGTTGTTATTAGCATAAATGTGATTATTACTAAAATTGTCCTTTGGTTACAAAATTAAGATAAATCAGTATAGTAACAAAAAAAATAAAATAAAATGAAGTGCATGAAATACTCTTCAAAAATTACACCAACCAGTTTATCTATAACTTCACCACTATGTCTAGTGTCGACATAAAAAGAATTACTAGAACTGTTCTTTAAATTGTTTAACAGATAACAAAGTATATAAGATGGATCAGTACATATAATAAAAATAAAATAAAGTGAGTAGAATATTTTTCAGAACCTATACTAACTAGTTCACCTATAACTTCACTACTAGGTCCAGCAACAGTATAAAAATTATTACTAGAATTGCCCTTTGAATATTTAACAAAAAAAAAGTTATAATAATATCGTTATACAAAATGAATAGTATACTGTATAGTAACAAAAAATAAATAAATAAAGTGTATAGAATATCTTTAGAATCTGCACCAACCAATTCATCTATAACTTCTATAACTTCGCTACTAGAATCAACCTTTGAATATAAGATGAATTAGTATACAGTAATAAAAAAATAAAAAAAGCATAAAATATTCATTGGAATCTGTACACACCATTTCACCTATAACTTCATTATTAAGATCGACATCGATGTAAAAGTAACTATTATAATCACTATTAGGATCATCCTTTAGATTATTCAATGGAAAGGTATAATGACAAAGTTATATAAGGTATTAGTATACAATAACAAAAAAAAAATATAAATAAGATGCATAGAATCTATTTGTAATAGGTAAGAACTATCGCTTGTATTTGAATAATCTGAATCCATAGCAAAGGAAGCTGATAAAAGAATTTTAAAAGGCAAGTATATAATATCAGCAGTTTGTAGCACATTTCTTGTTTTGTTTTACAATAATGTTCGCTAAACTTCTTATATGTCTAATATGTGGCTATGCTAACAAAATGTTTTACTTGTTAAATACAACATGTATTTAGCTTTTGTGAGATTCTTGACAATCAATAACTCCCAAAACAATATGCTATAAGTGAAAGAAGTGAAAAAAATTTCTAGACTGTAAGAAAAAGATTGTATTTATTTTGCCTTAAGATCGCTTACATTCAAACCCCAATTGCATGCATAATTTATTATAAAGCAAAACATATATATATAATAAATAAATAATATATATGATGATCAGTATATGACGATTAGTATGATGATCAAAACACGTGTATATACACATAGTGTAATATAAGAAATATTCTTTTTATAATAGTTTAGTAAAAATTTGTAACAGAATTTTATATTAGAAATAATAATTCTAAATATATGTAACAGAATTTTATATTAGAAATAATAATTCTAAATATATAACCAACTTGACTTTAATTAAATATATACCATAATTAGAATAGAAAGTATCTTAACCACCAGGTATATTGTATTATTTGGATAACAGAATACTTTACAATAAATTATTATAATTTAATACAACAAATTCAACCTTATAGTTTACTAAAATAGCAAGTAAGTTTCATTCTAATTTTTTATTTAGAAAGCATTATAATTTCAATCTAACTACTGGGTATATTGTATTATTAATTAAATATTAACAGAATTGGTCTTGCTTGGCACATTTTTGCTTATAACAAACACTGCACTACTTTTGTAAATAAGTACTTAATTTAAGAAGAAGCTTTACTTTATTATTAATAATTAATTTTTTTTATTTATTATTTATATCAAATGTTTTATTATATACTTTGTATTATTTTTAAACTATCTCTCTCATTGTTAATAAAATAAACTTTAATTATACCTATTATATCATCATTGTTGCATTATTATAGTATTGATAATCAAGGTATTTATTGTATATACCTGATCTTACTAATACCACCCATCATTTCAATTTCTATCACAACTTTAATCGATTACATAATTATGTAAGTTGTTTGACTACACTTCCATTTACTTTTGGTTTTTTGTTCTATTATACAATTTTAATAAATTCTTTGTTTTATTCTTTATAGTGAATCAAAATAGAAATTACAGTAATTCTAATACAATTTATTTAATATTATCTATATATTGTGGTTACTAAATAGCAAGTAAGTTTTGTAATGAATTCTTTATAGCAAAATTATAATAATTTAATACTAAATAATGATATAGTTATCAAATTTCGTATATTATACATCATACTAGAATCTAGAATTCGGAATTTTAAATTTTAAATAAATACAAAAAATTCTAAAAATGGTAAAAAATTTTCTTTCCCAATTAGCCAAATTTTATATAGCAGATACAGAGAATACAAAGCTTAAATATCATCATGAACCTACTTTGGATGCTGTAAATGTTTATACTGTGCTTCAGATTTAAGTATTAGTACATGTGATTGTAAAATTTCTTTAGTACCAACTAAAAAAAAACAGAACTGATTTTGTTAAATAGGCATATACACATTCTTATGAACTTACTTGGCTGGCATCTAAATTTGAATATATTCACAAACAAGTTATAGACTATAACTATAGAATAAATTTGAAAAAATCTTTCAAATTTTCTTTTTGTAGACAATGTCATAATGTTCTAGTCAAATTAAGTTCTTCAACTGCTAAAAAAAAATTAATATCAAGTGATGGCATGACAATAGCAAATACTAATAATATAACAATAGTAAAAAATAGATAATAAGTGATTTATTTTTTTATATTATAAATATATATATTTATTTATAATTTTATTTTTTTTATAGAAAATAATTGAAACTTTCTCACCAATATTAGCTGCTACAAGTGAAAATAATACAAGTGAGGACAAGACTAGTAGTGGTGAAGAATTGGAATTTGTATTAGATTACAAATTATTTGTAAAAATATCAGATAGAACTTCATTATCTGCTAAATGGTTTGAGGAATCTATTTTAGCTATAGATGAATTTCTTTTATCTATTCATGATAAAGTTATTTTGTTAACAAAAGATACTAATATTTTACTAAATAATTACTGTATAACTTTTAAAACACAAAGAGAAACAGGTGCTGGCATCCAATTAGTTGATGCACAGGACTTTATCAAGTTTAAGTCTGAATATTCAAAATTAGCTGCTAGAAAAAGTGATATTGGAATTTATGTTATAGTTACAAGATCATCTAGTTCTCAAAATAAGCAAAAAAAAAGGTATATATATAAATATATATACATACTTATATATATACATATATATATATATGTATAATACAAGAAATCCAAAAGCTTTAATAACCTTATATAGCATATATATATATTGTTTTTTGCTTATTGAGATTAATAATTTAGGGAATTTATTTTTAATATACTACTTGTTTTATGCATTATTTCTATTTAGAATATTAAGAATTTTGAATTTTCTGCATTAAACACACTGGTCGAAATTAAAACATTCAGTAATAATTCAGTAATAATTCAGTAATAATTCAGTAAATATTCAACAACCATTCAGGTACCGATTCCTGCCACTCAGCTGCCACTCAGCTATTACTCAGTAAAAATTCAGTAATATATTACTGAATTTTTACTGAGTGGTAGCTGAGTGGCAGCTGAGTTGCAGAAATCGGTACCTGAATG